TTAAACCTCCACAATCCTATCCATCAAAAGGCTATCAAGAGTAGACTGTTGGGTAGATGGGTACCACCTATACATGGTTCTTTCAAATTGAACTTTGATGGGAGTTCTTATGGAAACCTACGCGAAGCAGGGATCAGGGGTATTGTCATGACCCCGCCCCTAACCCCCATTCCGTACTCGACGGAGGATGATCGGGTGCGGGTTCGTGAACTCTATGTAGCGTACGTCACTCAGGTAGGAGTGAGCTCAACGCTTTTATAATACGGTAAACGGAGCAAATCATGAAAAAGAACTAAAACAATCATACAAAGGCAGATGAACATAGAAAATCCCATACACCAAAAATCCACTATATAAAATTCTTCCAAAATATTACACTTCAGTTTGAGACATCTAGGCCCAATATTACATATTTCCACAATAAACAAAAACTCAGGTCTAAACTGCCTAAATACATACAAGATCTAAGCACCTTCCTCAATAAATCTGCTTCGACTCCCAGCTGCAAAATACTAACTCCAGGCCCTGAACCTGTTGCTATCAATCTACAAGGAGGAGAGAAATAGTGAAATGAGCTATAAAGCCCAGTAAGTAGGTCTAGGTACAATGCATCATTATTGAGTCTATCCATGTATCAATAAATTGTTTTCTCAATGATAAGTTATCACAGTATAACTATCATATAAACCATAAATTTCATCAATGCATCTATCACATGCGTCATTTCAAGTATCGGAATTCTCATTCAATCAATACACATCATTCACATTCACAATGCAGATATTAAATATCATAAGAATTAGCAGTTCAGAAAACCCTTCCTTTGTGAACACCATCATAATTCATAGCAGCCATGCATTGCACACTATCGCGTATATATCTATAACTGAACATGGTTCATGACAATGTTCTTATCACAACAGAGTATACCCTCATTTTATCATAGAGCATATTATCATTTCACAACAATCACAAGGTTAGGTCACACAATACGCCAAAGCATGCACCGTACTGGTATCAATCACATAGGCAAGTCTTGCTATACTATCAAAGCAGGTATCCCCCAACATCAATGTTTGGTCATACGATACGCCCAAAGCATGCCAAAGAGTTCTCATAGCATCTATCACTTCAGTCGCACTACCAATGGGTGTCCCAGTACGTAGTGGTCAATATCACAGTATCATAACGGAACAGTACCCATTACCATTGGGTGGCCCATTGCGTAGTGGTCAATATTACTGTATCATGACAGAACAGTTCACACTACCAATGGGTGGCCCATTGTGTAGCGGACAATATCACAATATTATAATAAAACAGTCAAGCATTAATTTTTCTCGTACTTAGTCAGTACCTTATGACGACAATTCCAGTCTTATGGAAAAATCCAAGCCTTATTCAAAAATATACAACTGCCATGTACACTATGCTCCTTAACATGAAACATCCATCATAAGAGAGCTATCCCATGGCGCTTACACTTATCATTTAGCATTCATAATACTTTATTACATCAACGCCACAGCATTTACCACGTAGCATTTATCATAGAGCTATCACATGACATTTGTACTTATCGGTCATCATTCATTGCACGATCACATAGCATTGTGCACATAGCATCATGGCACTTGACATGCAGCATTCATCACATGAAAACTATCACGTAACATTATATTTAGCAATTATCACTTGTAACACTTGTCGTTCAGGTTGATTAGTAAACTATTCAATTAAAAGAGTGTACAATTTCACTACATTCATCACCAGGGTATTCTTATGGCAAAAAAGCGTCATTATCAAACCGTGGAGGGTTCCAGTGTGGTTTTAAAACCAATTTCGGAATAGACTTACTCATGATTCATATAAAAGTGATTTGAACACAATTGGGAAGGGTTTTAGCATAAAACAATTTATTTCTCAAGACAGGTACAAAGCTAAAAATCTTGGTCACGAGTGGCAGTGATGTACCATCTTCTTAGGGGCATAACTCCCAATTAGGGAGAATTTCAAAAATATTAAAGCACACAACTTTAAGTTTAAACATGGATCTTTAAAATTGTGGTAGTTTGAAGATGTTTGGATGATATTTGATGGGGTCAAAAGCTTGGCACAAAGTGAGTGAGAGTTGCTGGAATTTCTTGCAACTGTGATCAGTGATAGACCCTCACATTTTGGGGCATAATTCTCAGTCTACAAGGAATTTCAAAAAGAGTTCAACATGTAACTTTTCGTACACATAGATCTTTCAAATAACAGTGTTTTGGGAGCATTCAGACTCTGTTTGGTCAGTCAAAACTTATGACAATAGAGGTACCAGTTGTGAAATCCAGCGAAATTTGCTAACAGTAACATATATGCATCATTTAAAACATAGCTCATTATTTAAGAAGAATTTGGGCAAGGTTAAAACATAAACATCATAGTAGACACATGTATTTATTAAATGGCGGTGATTTGAGAGCATTCGATAGGCCAAAAGTTTGGTACAAAAAGAGTGACAGCCCAAAAATTTTCTGCAATATTTTAACAGTGATATACTCACACATTTTGAAGCATAATTTCAAATCCATGGGGAATTTCAAGATAATGTAAAACACAAAGTTGAAGTAGACAACTATATCTTTCAATCAAAACTGGCTTGGGTCTATTTGGACGCCGTCTGGTCATTGAAAGATCCGATGCAAAAACAATTATAGTTCTGGAAATTATCATTCTCAAATTTAACATGCTTTAAAAAACACTTAATGATTCACAACCCATTACAAATCTTCATACAAAACCTTGTTCATATTAAACTAGTATTACAAGTAATTTATTTCACAAATTCTACCACTAACAAGATCATTTACATTGCTCAAACAATCATGGCACATAGAGGCACAAATCTGGAATTTCAAGCTCATTTTAACGCATTCACATCTATACATCATCCTACCCTTTTACCCACTTCCAATACGTCAAATTGATTTCTCCAACATTTGTTGGTGCATAGATGCTAAACCTACTTAGGTGATGCTCATGACGCCTTCAAATCTCTACTCATAGACCACTTCAAGCTCCAAGCAATGGCGTTCCAATGGCAGCAGTAAAGAACTCTAACCTTGGGTTCTAGAGAGAGAAAGTATGAGAGAAGAAAAGAGGCAAAATCGCCGTGAGATGGAAGGGGATAGGGCTTTAAGTACCTAAGAGGTGGGTGGGATCCACTGTGGCTGACCGGTTCGGTGGAGATCACTATAGCTGACATGCACGACACTGACAAGTGCGGCACTGACACATACGACAACAATACGTCTTTTCCTTTTTTCTCTCTTTCTTCACTGCCACGCGCACTCCACCGCACGTGCTTTTCATTTCCATTTTTTCTCTCTTATGCCGTGCACACTTCTCTCTTCACTGCCGCACGCTCTTCTCTCTTGACTACCTCACGTTCTCTTCACTGCTGTGGGCGTTTTCCATTTCTTCCTCTTCACTGCCACACGCACTCCGCCGCGCGTGCTTTTCTTCACCTCTCTCTTCACTACCGCATGCACTCTGCTGCGTGCACTTTTCTTCTTCTTATCTCTCTTCTACACACATGGCGCTAGGCCTCTTCTACACCCTATTGTCGTGCGCGTCTCACACCCAGGAAAATTTGTAGTCCTTACAGGTATAGTGAGAGATTCATTTGGAATGGTAAATTTTGGTTTTTCAGGGCCTCTTGGTCATGTTATTGCCAACCATGCTGAACTAGCTGCACTTTTATAAGGGCTAAAGCTTTTCAAGTCCAAAAATTTAGGCTTGTCTTGTGTAGTAGAGGGTGATTCATGAAATGCAACCAAATGGTGCACAAATGAGCAACGAGTGCCATGGTCCTTAAAACGTCTGTAGTGCGAGATCCTTGATCCGGCCGGAGGGTTGATGGTGTCATTTCAACACGTCTACCGGGAAGCAAATGTTTAGGCTGATTATTTAGCTAAGAGAGGAGTGAACTTGGCTTTCCTTTTGGTCATGACGATGTTAATCAAGTCTAATCCTCCTTTAGATCGATAAAGTTATTGACATTGGTTAAAAAAATCCCTAGAATATGGGTCCAAAAAGTAGATGGAGTTGAATAATACTTTAGGTAGCAAATACACAGAATGCTCACGTGAGAGCAGAAAATCTTTGGCCCCCTCTGCTCCCCGTAAAAACAGACCTCGGTCTCATGGGTGGCTCTGCGGAACAGGGAAGCCCAGGAGCATCAGCCGCGAAGTAAGAGAGAGGGAAGCTTTGAAGCAGCAGCGACGAAATCAGGGGGAGATAGAGAGAGGGGGTAGAGAGAGAGAGAGGAGGGGTAGAGAGAGAGAGAGAGAGGAGGGAGGTAGAGA